TTTGTAGATGTTGAGAGTGATAGTAGGAGTGAGAATTGTCAGGAAATATCCTCTCTCACTTTGCAGTTTTAAACCCAAGTTGTGGGATGAATGAGGAATAGTCATACCTGGACTGAATTGTATTCTCAAGCATTTTAAAATAGTAGTGTTTCTCAGCCTATTGCCAGTAGTAATGACATTGTGATTATTTGCAGAATGAGCCATATGTTAAGCACATTAAAATGGTTGTTGAGTTTTTGTTTGTAAAAAAAATGAAAGCTTAAATATTAATCTGAAAATAGCTTTTGTATGAGTGTTCTGTACAGACTAGTTCCTTCTCAATCTGCAGGTTTCCATTTGAGTTGGTAAATAACACCAGAAGGTACAAACATCATTCAGCCACGAAGAGTGCCAGGCAAAGTCTGAAATTCTCAGTAGAATTTTTTGTATCAGATTTCATTATTGATGTACATTATTACAGTTGAATTGTTAACCTTGGTTAAGTTTGCATTGAAAATGTGGTGGGCAGTCTTAATGAAAGCAGAGCTCTATTTAAAGGATGGTGTTACCACTTTAATGACAGATTGGTAAATTTTATTCATAGCTTGGTAGAAAATTTTAGACTGGGAAGGGACTTTTAAAAAGCTTCTAGTCTAGGTTTCTCATTTTACAAAGGAAAACTATGGCCCAGAGAAAGGAAATGGCTTGCGTAGGGTTAAAAGATGAATTAGTGACAGAATTATAACTAGACTAACTCTTTTCATTACACTATGTTGCTTGTTGATATCTACTGTATATGTTTAGTTGAATGGAATTTCTTTTGTTTTTATTTTTCTTTGTAAGTGATTCATATTAAGTTGTAATGACACGAGGCTTCTGTCTTCTTGTTTGTAGCATCCTTTATGTTCTTTGCAGCTATGGCTTTTGCCTCATGTGATCACATTTCCTTTTGAGATCTAGTTGTTTCAGAGAAATTTCTATCTTAGTGGAGACGTGAGTTTTTGGAAGTAGAAAGGAACATCGATTCCTTGGTTTTGTCATCCGTTTCTCTCTGTTTCCTTCAGCGTGGATTCTTCTGTGTGTATTCAGTCTTGCTCACTCACTCCTCCCAGTGTCAAGATCTTAAATGCTTTTTCCATATCTGTATATATAGTACAGCCAAGTCCTGATTAGTGCAAGTGCCTTTAGAGTGGTCACATTATTCAGATTCATATCAAATATTCCCATTGGGCTGGAGCTAGTTACCATTTTTTAAATATAACTTTGAATAGCGCAAATTAGAATTTACATTGTCCCTTCAGAGGATACCCTAATTGAACTAACTGGGACTGAGATGTGCATTGTGTGCTGAGGTGGTAGAGTCCCAGTAGGTCATTCCACTGCCATTGATGAGAATGGATTGCTAAAGAAATATTAGCATATCTGTTTTATTTTCCATCTGTTTGTCATATTTTCATTTAAAATGCTGTTGGAATGGCCTTTTGTAATTTAGTCCCATTCTTTATTTTAAACAGAATAATTTCCCCCCTTTACCACTTTTTGCTGTTTTGAAGTAATAGTGCAAATAATCTTCCACTATTCCTTTTCACAACATTTTGTAAATAAATTTGTTTTCTAAACCTGGGTTGGCCTTGGTTGTAATGTGTCTGTTTGGTAAGGAGAGCAAGTGTTTGCTGGAAGAAGTGGTTTCAGTTTTCCTTTTACTTTATATTAGTGAAACTTCTATTAGAAATGGTTATATGAGAACATTTGCCATGGAAGTTTGAATAGCATAGAGTAGTTGCCACAAGGCAGAATTCTTAGCCCCTAAATTCATAATCTCTTAGTTAAATGAAGACAGGTGGCAGCCAAGGGTGACAGTAGTTTAAGATATGAAGGTTGTGGAGGGAGAGTGGAGCAAAGCACAGGATATTATGTTTGCAGAAAGTGGCCTGAGGCCCCATGCAGCTGTTTAAAAATAAGACTGGAAGAAAGACCACATTCTGATGAGAAAGGGGATAGTTTGTGTAGGAAACCCTTTTCTCTGTCAGTGACAGTCAAGTGACAAAACTGGGTTCCTTCACATCCCCAGTGTGCTTCAGGAAGGAGTAGCAGTGACACTGAAATAAAAAAAAAGAAAAAAAGATGAGAAGAATAGAGAAGACTATGCAAGGAGATAGAAGTGGCACAATTTTTTACCAGAAAAGCGAGATGGAATGATAGGAAAAAAAAATTATGCATGGTACTACTACTGATAAAAATCAGTGTCACAGTTCCTTTCCTCATGGAGCACAAAAGCTAGTAGTAATGACTCACATTTTACAGTGCTTTTGAAATTATCTCTTGTTTAAAGGTTTTCAAAGAATTGTGTTCATAACCATTCTCTGAGGTAGGTAATGCAAATGTTGCTATTCCCATTTTATAGGATGAGGAAACTGAGACTCTGAAAGGTTAAGTGGCTTGGCCAGTGTCTCAGTACAAAAAGTGGGTGGGGCAGGAGGAAGACCTGAGGTTCCAAGCTTAGCACTCTGCCTGCTATGTGACAATGCCTTTAGAGCATGTGGGGGTGGGGGTGGGAAGGGTGGAGAGAGGATACATGTACATGCATAATGTAAAACATGAGCATCAATGCATAATTAGAGAGGTCCAAAATGATATTTGAAATCCAGAGAAGGAACGTTCCCTTTGGCATATTGGGAAAGATTTTATGTAGATTGCTTTGAGCTCGGTAAACGAAGGATGGCTAAGGGTTCAGCCACAGGAGATAGGGGGTGAGCATTCAGTGCATAGTGCATAGGCAGAAGTATAGGAGTGACTAAGGTTTAGGTGTATATGGGAAACAATGGCCAGATTGGCTCAAAGATTCTAGATTAGCTAGTGTTTAATGTGTGACATAAATCTGGAAAGGTAGGAGAGGAGGAGAATGAAATGATTTGTTATAAACATAAAGACCTGGAAATTATTTTGAGGAAAAATCATAATTAGCTTTCTTAGATTGTTAGACTAGTAATTTCTTGAAATTTGATGTTTAACACTAATCTTAATTGATTTTAAATATCAATTCAAATTCTCAGGAAAAAAAAAACAACAACCTAGCATATGTAGTAATTTTAGAAGCTGATTGAGAATGACTGAGATTATTGAAATGTTTCTTACTCAGTAAAGGTGATTTGGGTAGAGTCTTTCAATTTTTTTTC